ATTGTGTCTAAAATGAAATTAATTAGGCTGAAGATGATAGTTTAATTGGCTAATTCTTCTGTGTCACCAAATCGAACTAAAGCTATAAATAGTGAATTTGTTATACGCGTGATCAGAAATGAAAATGAACTTATTTTCAAGAATAAAAATAAGAGATATTTGAATTTCTTAATTAATAGACAAGGTTAGGAATAAAGATATACATGTTGTTAAAGAATGCGACAAAATAGGAATGTGAAATAGCAGTCGTTACGATGTTAACGTTATTACATCCGTTTTCAACTAATAGTGATTTACGTTCATCACCTAATAACAAATAAAAATTTTAGAGGTGGACAAAATTTCACTCCAAACTTTCATTGTAGTAGTTATCATTTTGTTGATTGGATTTTATAATGACATACCAAACTTTTACTTTTTCAAAAAAAAAAAAAAAGACATACATAATTTTCTTATCATCATAAAATTAAGGGATCAATTTAAGGTAACTAAATCAGGTAAAAGATGAAGAAATTTTGTGTAATTAGAAAAAGAAGTGAGAATAGTGTATACCCAAAAAAAAAAAAAAATTAGGGGTGATTCTATCTTTCGGTGTTCATAACTTTATTTGTTACATATTATTGACCGAAATTATATACAATATTAATAAAGAGAAAGAAATATTAATTGAGGAGACGCTAAAGTGAAAATTCTATGTGTCATTTAATAAGAGTTTCAAGGAGATTCAAATTAACCAATGAAAATATGTCAATTAATTCTACATATTCATATTAATTTTAGAGAAATTTCAAAAAATAACACTTTTTAAGTGTCACTTTACAAAAATGCCACTTTTTAAAAATTATATTTTCTTTATATTATTTATGTTTGGATTAATTATGTTCTATTATGGTTTAGTTACGAGGGTTTGGGAAGTTTTAGGGGTCAAAACATTTTTTAGGGTTCTAAAATTTTAAGATATATGCTTTATAAATCTATAATTAGTGGCATTTTTGTAAATTGACACCTCTAAGTGGTATTCTTGCAAATGTGCACACAAAAAGTGGTATTTTTGTAATTGCCCTTTAATTTTATAGCATAAACCCATTAATACATGTTTTGCAAGTCGAACTAAATGTAATTTTTTACACTTACCATATCATCTATTTTTAAAACTTCTTTTATATTTTAAATTTTTTTATTATTATATTATTTATTGTGTATAATGTATTTAGATTAATATGATATATAAAATATTAACACATTTCATTATTGGGAAATATATATTGTTTTTCCTTTATTATGTCCGACAAATTCATATAAATCTAAAATTTATCTGATTTATCGCATGCTATATAATTTATGCGGATAATACAATTAATTTTACACTTAAAATATATTGAAAATAAATAACATTTTCATATGTTCTGATCAATCGCACATAAAAATATTAAAACTGATGGCATCAAAATATGTTTGATCAAAATTTAACTTGATTATACTTATGCACAATGCATTCATTTTGTAAGTTTATAAATGTTAGAAATCATATGATTTTTGTCAGATATATTTACATATTAAAATATATTTATTCATTTACTTCCACGTTTTGTTTACCATGTTTTATTACAAACGTGTTAATACACAACGCTCAATTTAACCAAATGATATTTTCATTCTCAGTTTTCTCTATTCAACGAAGTTTGCCTACCTCCTAATTATGCATAATATTTTTTTTGATAAACCACGGAAGTTTCGAATCTTTGATTTATAATCTTTTCGGTATTTGTAAATAGTTTTTAGATATTCCAATTTAAAAATATCTCTCCATACCAAAGAGAATTTAAACGTGGGACATAAGAAAACCAACCCTTTTATATTAATTTCATTACCTAGAAGTTAGTAGACAAGAATTAAAGATTCGACTCTAACGAAAATAAAATTGAATAAAACTTGCCAAACTCCATTTATGATTGACTATGACGTTAACTATAATTAGCAGAATGCAATATACAAAGGTGATGTTCATCTTTGTTTAGACCACTAGCTAATCACCTTTGTTTAGACCACTAGCTAATCACCTACTCATTTCATTTAATTTTCTATATGTTTATTTAAATGCATGCAAATATGTATATAGTTTTGTTTTGTACTTATATGCACTAGTAGTTATAATGTCCATTTACGTACATTGTTATAATGATCATCCTATCAAAGTATCAAACGAATAATATATACTCTCGACTGTCATCAATAATATATAAGTTTTAATCAATCCAAATTAATTAATATTTGCCGACAGTTTTATCCACGAAACACACCCTGAAACTTTTAAAATATAATGAACATCTACATTTTTGATATTTTGTTTTTTTGAAACTTGATAATGAGATATATGAAGGGTTTATTTTTGGAATTATTAGAAAAGGGTTTAGTGACTATTATGAAATGTAAACGACGACATTTTGTCTTTACATCTGTATCCAACATATTAGAAAACAAAGAAACAGTGGTGTCAATGGATTTTAATCATTTATTCTTTTTCATAGGATTCCCCCCCCCCCAAACCCATAAACTTTTAAATTTGTCTCTTTTATACAGCTTTTAAATTTGTCTAAAAGATGCATTACAACTTTATACTCCTATATATATATATTAAAGTTAGGTTTCATTTTTCATAGAGTAAAATGTGTCTTTTAATCTTTCAGTATGTTTTTAACTTTTTATGCTTTGATAAGTACATAAAATAAAATTTTAATATTTGTTGGCTTATAAATCA